CCAACAGATAAAGTACCACACAGATACAAATCACACAGAAACGAACACAAGGCAAATTGCACATAGCAAATATGCACAGCGAAGTATTACTACGAAAATAATAAATCACATAAACATGCACCTGAAACCTCCAGCAAAGCGGTAAATCACACAAAAGCGATAAATCACAACAAGCAACCCCCGTCCAGGGGCTACAACAACGAAAGCAGTAAAAGGTGGGTTCAAGAAAGTTTACCAGAGCTAGCCCTATTTGTTAGGTGCTCGTCTTACCAACGTGTGAAGTGGAGTGATGGACGGGCCGCAAGCGGGCTCTGATACTATTGTTGGGTATCCGCCCGTCTAAGCCCCGTTTGAAGCGAAGACACTCTTCGGAGGTAATGTGCAGCCCGGTAGGGCCTGAACAGCTCCCGGTCAGTCTCGGGCTGATCCCCGTTGGTCTCGAACATCAGCAAATAGGTTTTTGACAATAGCCAAGGAATCCCGAACTGCACTCTAGCAGGATCTGAACATCAGCTTAAGTCCCGAAGGAAATTGCTTCAGGCCCAGACAAAAACAGCAGCTACAATAGCAATATTTCAGCAATTGAATAAACTAATAACCATCACCTAGGCAGCACTTAAGTGTGTATACTGAAGCCACAAACAAAAACTAAAAATGATTAATAAACATAAATTAAGATTAGTCAAGAGAGGATGGAATTGAGAACGACCACACACTTTTACGTAGACGTATTCGCAACCGACACATGAAGTGTTAATTACACAAGCTCAGGCTCCGTATAATTATGCCCACAAGAATCACAAAGAATCTAGCTCCTGGCCACAGACATTCGATCGTCTGACACACAGACCTTCGGTAGCAAGAAGTCTTGCAAAATGAAATCCCCATGATACTCACTAAAAGAATACACAAAGTACTCTCTGTTTTTATCTCAACTCTCTATCTCTCTGTTCTCTATTTACTCTCTTTGTTTTTGTATTTCACTCACACTCACACACAAGCACTCATATCATGTTTATTGTTGGTTACACAAGCATACACAACACTTTATTTTCTACTCACATATTGTGACGCCCCGTTTTATTTTAAAGAATTTATCAGAATTAATTTTCACAAATTCTCAAATTAAAACTTATTTATCAGCGGGTGTTACTTAACAATTTACACATACGAATAAATAGAAGAACAACGACAACCATAGATGCATAAACCAATAATCATGAGTTTGAATATTTTTCATTCTTTTGGTGCCAGTGGAGCAAAAGAAGTGCTGCTAGACTTTTATCTTTCAAGGGCAGTCTGAGTTGCACGACGTGCCAGATCGAAAGCCTAATCCTAGTAGTATCTAGTTCTTTGACACCTTTAGCACCAATAATCGTGAAATTCAAACTTATTTATTCTAACCATTTCAAACAAGTTCAAAATCCAGCCAGTTTGAAATAAAGTCAAACATGATAAAAAGGGTTCATCCAAATATCATCATAATATTCAAAGCAGAGTAAATAAGTGGAAGCAAGAGAAAATGATAACACAACAAAGAATGACCACCACTCGATCGTGTTGACACCGCCGCCGCCAGCTACGCTCAACTTGAAAAAAGGAAGATGAGACAGAGAGAAAAATAATGGGGTGAGCAAAACCATTATGCTCACCATTACCGCACAGTATATCCCGCATAAAGATTCAAAACCATAAATAAAGTATGCATAGAATCTATGTCTAACTCCCTATACGACCCTGTCGCAAACCTCCTATGTACATACAACAACCTTCCGATCAGACATCGACAAGGAGTAACCGGAAACCTTTCCACTCCGGCTCGACACGGGCTAAGGGATCC